GAGAGAGAGAGAGAGAGAGAGAGAGAGAGAGAGAGAGAGAGAGGGTGAGGGGTGTAAGTGGTGGTGGTGTTGTGTACCCGATGTCCATCATTGGTGAATCTGACGGCATTGATATTCCTCGCGAGACCCATAGTTGTCACGTGAAAACTCTTGAGTAGTTCGCATCTGAGAGCGTGATATAGGCATACATTCCCGTCGTAAGCGCCCGAACAGAACAGATACCGATCGGTGGGACTGAAGGCCACTCCCCGTACGGACCCGTTGTGGTGGCGGAGGAATCGGGCGCAACCCATTGTCTCCATTGTCATCGATACTATACGACCGCTAGATCACCACCAATTGGTCCAAACACTACCGCTAAAGACCACTACAAACACAACACTCGAGACACACCACTGGTCACAATACTGACCACAACTAACTGATCCAATCGGCGATTGAATCGACAATTGATTGTTTGCTTTTTGATTGTTGTTTGCGATTATTTCGATGGCTTTTCGCACTCAACACTCGTAATCACATGTATTTCTGTGTGAAAAACCAATTTTGCTAAGCATTTGAGGGCAGAGACGACACAACCAATACTTGTATTGTTTTGAGTGATTAGTTAATTGTTGACCAAAAACACAACACAATTGTAGTGCAGATTACGATCGCCTGTGTATTGCATTCAACGCTATTCACAGTCCATAGCATTGCTTTCAATGCATACAAAATGTGCCCATTTTTGGACATTCATCGCGTTTTGCGGCCAATTGTTTGTCCGTTTCGTCGGTAACACCAGTGCATCAAAATCGGGACAAATCTGACTTACGATAGCTTTATAACGACATTCAATCACTCATTGATTACTTTTCATAACCAAATAATTATAACATTAATCATAGCATTAAATCCGCTATTGATTTGACCATTGATTGTATTGATAGCCAGGGATTAAATCTTAGGGTAAGTTATATCGCGAACACAATATTTGATTTACAGTTATATTTAAAACTTAATTATTTATTATTATTATTACTATAAGTGTATGTGTTTTTCATGAGACAGAAAAAAAATTGTTTGCGTTTGCATTCACTCTATATATTTTATATGCGCTCACATATGATATGCCATTAATTATGGTCTGAATTATTGTACATGGTTACAATTATTTTTCACCATTACGCTATAACTCGCCTGTAAATTCTTATGGTATATTCCTATAGGGTTTTGTGACTTTTATATAACTAGTTATATGTTTATAACGTGGTATTTATATGTATGAAAAGGTACCGATTGAGAGGGATTTTGTGTTAACCCTGTTTTACAAAGTTTAAAAATTTTATCAATAAATATTTGTAGAAGTGAGCGAAAATTTGTGCGACCCGTAATCGCGACTTTGCGAAATGTACATGGCTTTTTAATCGCTAAAAATGACAAACTTGTTATCAATTGTTTAAAATTTTAATTTTCCCTATGAATGCAATCAGTGGGCGATTACCACAATTGACAATATCATTTCAGCCTAGTGTAAATACCATATACAGTATTTTCCATAGAGTTAACATTACTAATGGCATCATTCATATAATACGTGACAAATATTAGCAGTGAGTGTATGCGACGACTCACCAAACATTTTTTTGACACAACTTTTGAAATGTTAGCATTGATTGTACACATCATTAGACCGTCTGTTCGCCAGAATTAGCAGAATTTTGTGTCTCTTATATATACTACTCGTAGAATATTCTGTTGGTTAGTAACCAAGGGTTAGACTTTTATTGGTTATATTCGCTCACAAGCTATAAGTTCTATGTTTGTGATAATCATTTAGTTTATTTATATACTTTAATAAAAAATAAAATATTATGAATATGGTCATATTTAAGCCATATTATGAAATATAATAGAGAATTATAGCTAGGTCAGTGGAAATGTCAGAACTGTGCTTTAAGCCGATCGATGAGTACTAGGATGTGCATGGCACAGTTATTACCATCATAATGGTTTACTTTTTAGTTGCGAAATCTATTTATTCGAGACATTTATTTTATTACAACTATAGCTAAATCGCTATTATAGCTAAATATTTCATATTTAAAACTAAAATAAAAATACAAATATTAATAATTAGACGGCTTTTTATTTATTATATTTTGAAAAATTGTTTTTCGAAATATATATTGTTTTTATTGTTGTATTACATGTGCTTCTAATGGCTTTAAAACTCTTCAAAAATATATATAATATTTGATTTTGGGTTCAATGTTATGGATATTGTTTCAAGTTTTAATCATTGTCTAATCGGTATACAGTTATCGTAACTCGCGTTACGATTTTATAATTATGTGAATACATGTATTATGTAATATATTTTATGTTTTTTAAAATTGTTAAATTAAATAAATACAAATATACTGTAGATTATTTGATTGTAATATTTGTATATGAATTATAAATCGGTTTTTGTAATTGCTTTTTAACAACATCTATAAAAATTCAATTATACAACAGTATTGTGTTGTATAGTAGAAATCAATTATACTGTATATAACTAGTACATATACTATTAATTATGCAATTCTCTCTCTGTGCCTAAAATAACGTAATGACAATCAAGACATTTGTCGGACATAATATTTACCGCTGAACCACTAAAATGGCGAC